TCATTTTGATTCTGATTAGTGCCAATTTGTGCTTGAAAAGGTATAGTTGATAACTAATATCGAACAAAATATAAATTCAAATGTATTTAGTTAAAGATCATGTTGCACTAAAAGCTTAGTGATAGTGCATTTTTTTCACTATCACTAAATTTTAAGTGGTAATGGTTTTGCATTTTAACTACCACTGGATAAACAGTAGTAGTGCAATTTAGTGGTAGTGTAAAAATGCCCAACCCTGATATTAACTTATTATTTATTAAACTTTATCTTAACCATCGTAACCGTGGTAATCATATAATTACTGCATCCAAATCGTTACAATTAATGATGTTAACAATAGCTCAACTTATGAAACTAAAACTTTGAATATCTCGAAAATGGTCCATTTTCGGACCTATGTTTATTAGACATTTTTTGTCTATTTTCGATCAGAGAATACGCAGGTGAAGTATTGTACAATCGTTGCGGGACATTCTGTATAAACACTGCAAATATAACAAAATAAATCACTACTATATTTACACTTTCTTCGTGACGAACTCATGTTTTAAAAGACAAGACAAATATATTAGAATGGACATTCAGTAATTGAAACAAAATATTAACACATGACAACTTATCCAGATTCACGTATAAGTACTTCAATATTGTCAAACTACTGAGATCTCACCTGTTTAGCGGAGCAAGGGGTGAAAAAGTTGCGCAGAAGCTTAATCATGACTGGAAAAATAAATTTTATTACTAACTAGCCGATAATTGTTCAAAGTATAAGATATGCAAAAATCATAAAAAACAAGAGCACATTCAGTACTTTCATGATTTTTTATTGTAAATTAAATAAAAATGTTTTTTTTTTTAATTTCGAAATAAAAGAATTTACATTTAAACAATTTTATTTCTTAAACTCCGTATCTTTCAAATATATCCAACCAAAATCGAACATTAACATCATCGGGATCAACTCCACTTTTATTTTCATTCGATCCAATATCAACGTAATTCATAACCCCATCGCTTACAGATCTCCAATCATCATCACTTAAGAAATTGGGATTCGAAGTTTTAGCAAAATTAGTCCACATTTTAACAACCCTGTTAACTGCGAAATCTTCAACGCTGTTCTCTTCAATTTTAGGAGTAATAAAAGTTTGAAGCATATACGATAAATCATCACAATGACTTGCGCCTTTATAACTCATTGAAATCTCATCGCGATTTTTATAAACGTTCATTGCAGTATCGGCTGAAAATCGATAAAAATAAATTGGATTTTCGTTCGTTTTTGCGTGTTCTAAAGCAGCTTTTCTTCCAGGCAAAGCAAACCAAGTGTCTCGATAAATATCAATGAAAGGTTGCAAATTATCTGGTGGTGATTCGTCGCCTTCATAAAATCTTCTTAACTCTTCCCCTAATTCAAGTGCTTCGGGTGTCCCTGGTGAAATTCCTAACTCATCAGGTACAAAAGCAAAAAAATCGGTTAATGGTGTAATTTGTCCGGTTAAATTTCTTAAGAATTGTTCAAAATAAATTCCTTCCGCGTCTGTGTAACCAATCAATAAAGGTACTTTATTATAATTTCCTTCTTTGATAAGATTTAATGGCTCATCGATAAGAAAAGCAGTCCCATTCGTTTGTTTTTCAACAATTGGAACATGAAATCCACCCCAACGCATTGGATTATTCTAAAATTGACCGCAATAAAAAAAATTAACCAAATTTTGTTTGTATTACGATTGAAAGAAGTTGAAAAGCACCAAAAATAGTCGCTGCAGGTAATAACTGCAAAGTTAATAACATATTTGAAACATCATCGGTGGAAATTTGAAGCACTTCGGCCAATAATTTTCCATTATTTGGTACACCAACAAGCCAAGGACTTGTTGCCACTCCACTTTGCATGATTGCATTTGAAAATAATCCTTTTGATTGTGGGGAAAGGACGTGGAGATGAACGCAAGCTCCACCAGCGCTTTGCCCAAAAATTGTTACTTTATCTGGATCACCACCGAAATACTTAATATTCTTTTGGACCCATTCCAAAGCTAATCTTTGATCTTTTAATCCTGCGTTTCCAAAATTTAAATCGTCTAAACTAAAAAATCCTAAAACATATTTTATGTTTTATAAATTATCTTATCAAATTATTTTATTAAAATCACCAAAAATATTAAGGCGATAATTTAAAGTGACCAAAAGTACATTTTCTGGAATTAAAAACTCCGGGCTGTAATAATCTTGTCTTCCAGATCCGGTTATGAAAGATCCGCCGTGGATAAAAACCATAACGGGAAGATTTGTTGCGTTTAAACTTGGAGTGTAAACGTTTAAATATAAACAATCCTCTTCACCAATTAAATTTTCATCGAATTGGTAACAAAAAGGGAGATCACTTGTTGCGTCTTTGATCCCATCCCAAGGATCGTTTGGAATGGGATCCTAAAAAAAATTATTTACTTAAATATTTAATTAAACATTAAATTTACCTTGAATCTAAGATTTCCAATTGGTGGTTTTGCATACGGAATACTTTGAAAACTAAAAAATTCGTTGCCGAAACGATCATTTTTGATGGCTCCTCTTAATATTCCATCTGGTATTGAGTTAAGAATTTCAGCTGAAGTAATTGAAAAGATTGTTATAACAGTAATACAGGTTAAAATTAGTTTTAGACGACACATTTTGTATTTTTAACTTTTCTATGATTGACAGGGAATACTATAATCTGATCAGCACTTAAGTGATACAATACTTATAACTTACACATACTGATAAAAATATAACGATAATAAAATGTTTATAGTTCATTTACAAGGTTACGGAAAGTTTTAAACAAAATTTGTTTGTAAATTTGTTTAAATGGAACGTCCTGTATATTTTTATCATATTACAATTACAACTAGATTTAGTTATCCAACTGTACATCATTATAGTTATAATTTTTGGTGCATTTTTGAAGATGATGACCCTATATTGCCACATTATTTGAATAAATATGAAATTAATAAGAAAGCTGATAAGATATGTCAACTTATTTGGATCCAAGATACAAAATGAACTTTTTTGATGCTGATTTAATTAACGAAGCAACTCTAAAATGAGGATACTTTAATTAATAATTGGCGATATTTCTACAAGGATCCTTCAAGAAATTAATTTTATAGCAAATTTTGCAAGTTATCGATGAAAATTGTAACATCGAAAAATTTATAAAAACTTCCAATGTTGTTTTCTCAAAAACTAAAAATTATTTTTCAAAACGGATTGTTTCATTGGAAAGAGGACACTTTTATTAACACGTTGGGAAATTTTCATACTCATATTCCAAGAACTGGATTTTATACGAATTTTTAAAATTTAATCGGCGAAAATTGAAAAATTCGACAAAATTGTCGATTACTTCAAAAATTTATTTCTCAAGAACTAAAAATGACTTTTCAAAACGGCATATTGCATTAAAAAGAGGATACTTTAATTAATAATTGGTGATATTTCCACAAGGATCCTTCAAGAAGTTAATTTTATAGCGAATTTTGAAAATAATCGATGAAAATTGCAACATCGAAAATTTTATCAAAACTTCAAATATTGTTTTCTCAAAAACTAAAAGTTATTTTTCAAAACTGGTTAATTCGTCGGAAAGAGGACACTTTTATTAACACTTTGGGAAATTTTCACACTCATATCGTCGATTATTTCAAAAATTTATTTCTCAAGAACTAAAAATAATATTTCAAAACGGCTTTTTGCATTAAAAAGAGGATACTTTAATTAATAATTGGTGATATTTCCACAAGGATCCTTCAAGAAAGAAGAAAAAACTGCATCAGATGTCTGTGGTACTTGCATTTTTTGGAAAAATAAAATAAAATTTGAAAAAATCCTGAAAAAAACAGCAATTAATGGCGAAGAAAACGATTCACTCTATGAGGGCCCATGCATTTTATGCTATGATTCGTCAGCATGTGCCTGACAGTATAAGTTTGTGTTTTGATATGAAAAAAGTGTAACCGTTACCAAAAACCCCTATACAAGATGCATACTATTCGCGACAAATAAGTTTATATAACTTATGTGTTGTAACATTGGATTCAAAAAATCCTACATTCTTTGCATGGTTAGAAGCACAATCTGGGAGAGAGTTAATTGAAGTAGGATCTGTATTATTCACCTATTTAAAGGACTTGGAAATATCTACAAATACAAAAGTAATACGGTTATTCTGTGATGGTTGTGGGGTGCAGACCAGAAATAGTCATATTATTCATAGCCTAATACATTGGCTTTTTAACAAATCACCTTCCATCGTAAAAGGAATAACACTAACGTTTCCAGTTAGAAGCCACAGCTTTCTTCCGGTAGACCGGGTTTTTGGCAGATTAGAGAAAGATATCAAAAAACAAACGGCAATGACACTTCCTGAACCATATTATGAAATTTATGGAAAACCTGGGATATTGAAAGCTTTGGAAGAAAACTGGGCTCTGTATAGAAAACCTTGACAATATTATAAGAAAGTAGTAGATATCCGTTTAATAAAAAGAATTATTATAAAAAAATCTCGACGATCTGGTTACAATATTTACACCCACGACACTAATTGTTTTAAAACAAATTAAGAGCTCTAATGAATCTTCTAAAGCGAGATAAGCGCCATTGCCAAACTTTTGCACAATTATCCATGAGACCTCAAGGTATAAACAGGAACATAAAGAAAGATGTAACTAATTTACTCGTCAAGCAGTTTGGTGACAGCTGAGCGACTTAACGGATTTAGCATTTTTTAACAATATTATTTTTGATCAAGAAACTACAATGACCAATGATGACATTGAAGATCATCAGCATGATGAATCTTGTGATTATTTCGAGCATGATGTTGGTGTAATCAGAATATAAATAAATATTCATGTGTCTGTTTTTTTGTTTACCCTTAACTTATCCTTTTTACTCTAGGCATTCATAATCAAAAACTGCTATATATCTAATGTTCTGTTCAAAAGGTGCTACTTATTTTCATTTCAGATGAAAAGGTGCTATTTCCATTTTTTAATGTTCAATTTTGTGCTTTTTAGTAAAGACAAAAAAAATAATTTACCCTAGAAATTTGTGGCCTTATAAAAAATTATTTTAATTTTAAAAATATATACCTGCACATACATTTTTCAATAGCTATAAGGTTTTTTGAAATACCTCCTTTTGAACAGACGCTCGTCAACTAAAAACAGCATTAAATTTATCCAATTTTCATATTTTCGTATTTTTCTCGATATATTTTTATTGACGCATCTGACAGCAAAAGATAAGAGAGCAATATTGTTAAGCATAAAATTTGCTATAACTCTCGTTCTAAAAGTATTTTATTAAATGCTCCGTTACCCGAGTGTTACCATTAACAACTTGAAAAAGCAACCGATATATCCTATTTTCATATTTTTCTTGATATTGACGCATTTGAAACCAAAAGTGCAAGAGAGCAATATTGTTAAGATAAAATTTGCAATAACTATTGTGCCCAATGTATTTTAACATGCTCCGTTTCCCGAGTGTTACCGCTAACAACTTAAAAAAAGTAACAAATTGATCCAATTTTTATATTTTCGTATTTTTCTCAATATTGATGCATCTGAGAACAAATGTAAAGGACAGCAATATTGTTAAAAATAAAATTTGTTACAACTTTCGTTCAAATTTTTTTTTTGTAATATGCTCAGTTACCTAAGTGATAGATACCACTAACAACTCGAAAAAGCAACAAATTGATCCATTCATCATATTTACCTACTTTTCTCAATATTATCGCATCCGAGAGCAAAATTGAAGAAGAGCAATATTGTTAGGAATAAAATTTGCTACAAGTTTCGTTACAAAAGTTTTTTTGTAATATGTTTCGTCACCCGAGTGATACAATTAACAACTTGAAAAAGCAACAAATTCATCCAATTTTCATATTTTCGTATTTTTCTCAACATTGACGCATCTGATAGCAAAAGTTCAAGAGAGCAATATTATTAAGAATAAAGTTTCCTATAACTATTGTTTGAAAAGTTTTTTTGTAATATGTTCCGATTCCCTAGTGTTACCATTAACATCTTAAAAAAAACAACAAATTCATCCAATTTCCATATTTTCGTATTTTCCTCGATATTGACGCATCTAAGAGCAAAAATGTAAGAGAGCAATATTATTAAGAATAAAGATTCCTACAACCATTGTTTGGAAGGTTTTTTTGTAATATGCTCCGTTTTCCGAATATAACCATTAAGAACTTGAAAAAGCAATAAATTCATCCAGTTTTCATATTTTCGTATTTTTCTCAATATTGACGCATCTGATAGCAGAATTGCAAGAGTGCAATATAGTTTAGAATAAAATTTGCTGCATTTATTATTCAAAAAGTTTTTTTTGTAATGTTCCGATTCCTCAGTGTTACCATTAACAACTTACAAATAATGAATTAATCAAATATTCACATTTTCATATTTTTCTCGAGATTTACGCATCTGAGAGCAAAAGTGAAAGAGAGCAATATTGTTAACAATAAAGTTTGGTACAAGTTTTGTTTTAAAAGGTTTATTGTAATATGCTCTGAATTCCGGGTGTAACCATTTAAGAAAACTAAGTTGACCCATTTTCCGGAATGCAATAAACAATTTTTATGCTAAATTATTTGTATCGTTGTAGCCATTATTTCTTTCCAGTTTATTCATCAAATATAATAAAATACTGCTTTTGTTTTGTACTTTTTATTAAAATGTATGTTAATGTTTTCAATTCTACCGGTTTCAGTACAAAACCATCTTCAGTACCCTTGAATTGCGTCAGTTTATTTAAAAAAACCTATTGTGGTATTTATCATGTTGAATCTTTTCTTTTCTGTTAAACTTTTATAATTATATAGATCAGTGTCACCATTTTTGGTTTTAATTTTTCGACAGGATTAGATGTGCACGTGTAACAACTCTAGGCACAAAACATGCTCTACCATTAGAATTAACCAGACCTAAAGCTAGAAAGTTACGGGCTTTGCCGTTCATCTGAACACTAAAATGTCCAGGAAAGGTAACTGTTTTGCAGTGTTCTTTTCCACGGTAAATTTGATCACGAGGTATTGCGACTTCAGGTAGTCTAAGAACTTCTGGAGACACTCTTCTACTTCCATGCTGCCTGATCACAGTGGTATCATCCACGTAACGAAACCATAGCTTCCGTTTCCATGAACTCTTCGATTCTGATGACAAAGGTAATTCTATGGCTGCCCCTTCACATTGCTTGCAGAATACTCCCTTCCAGCTAAAATATGTTGATGATAAACAGTACTCCGCGGGCCCTGGAAAATACTTCTTTAAACCCTGCGGAATGAGTTATTTTATTATTGTATCTTTTAGGATTTAATATTTACAGGGTGTTAAAAAACATTATATTATCTTATTATATTAAAAATTTATTGTGTGATATATGAATAATTGCACAAAATATTTTATAGAACACCAAATCGTTCGAAAATATCCAACCAAAAGCTCATTCTTTCTTCATCAGGATTAACTCCGGAAATATCTCTAAATGTCCCAATATCCATATAATTTAAAACTCCATCAACAACCGGTATCCAATGATCACCCACTATTAAAGGATGTGAATGTTTAGCAAAGCTGCCCCATATTCTAGTAACACGTTGGAGGGCAATATCTTCTACAGAACCGTTAAGAATTTCTGGTGATATAGCCGTTTTAAATAAATATCCTATATCATCTGCATGAGCAGCACCTAGAAATCCCATCGAAATCGAATCCATCCGCTTGACAACATTTAATTCAGTATCGGCGGAAAATCGATAAAAATAAACTGGATATCCATTATTTTTAACATGTTCAACAGCAGCTCTTCTAGCTGGAAAAGCATACCATGTATCTCTACTAATATTAATCAAAGGTAACATGAAATCAGGGCTAATTTCAACATCGCCTTGATAAAATTCTTTTATTTCGTCCGCCAATTTAAGCGCTTCTGGTGTCCCTGGTAAAATTCCTAACTCATCAGGGACAAAATTAAAAAAGTCAGTGACTGGTTGGGGTTGTCCCGTTGCATTTCGAATGATTTGTTCCAAAAAAATCCCTTCCGCGTCTGTGTACCCAATTATCATTGGCACTTTATTATAATTTCCTGCTCGAAGAATTTTCATTGGATCATCCGGTAAGAAAGCTGTTTCTTTGTGTTTTTCTACAATTGGATTATGAAAACCTGCCCAACGCATGGGATAAATCTAAAATTAACAAAATTAAATTTAAAAATGAAAAAATTACGAAATTACTTGAGATAGCAGTAAAAATCCTTGCATAATAAATTGAGGTGGAAGATATTGAAGAGTCAGCAACATTTCCGAAACATCATCTGTGGTTACTCCTAACACTTGAGCCAAATATAATCCATTATTTTGAACACCCGTCTGCGTAGGACTAGTTCCCACACCACTTTGCATGATTGCCTTAGAAAATAATCCTTTGGATTGCGGGGAAAGGACGTGAAAGTGTACACTAGCACCACCGGCGCTTTGACCATAAATTGTTACTTGATCTGGATCACCACCGAAATATTCTATATTTTTTTGAACCCATTCCAAAGCTAATCTTTGATCTTTCAAACCAGCATTTCCAGGAGCTCCAAGAGAAGGGTCGTCCAAACTAAAGAATCCTTTTTTGTAATAAATAAATTCAGTTAATTAAGTTTAACTTAGTATTTAAATTATAATTAATATTTACCAAACATGTTAACTCTATAATTTAATTTAACCAAAACGATATCTTCGGTGATTAAAAATTCAGGTCCATAAATGGCATCTCGTGCAGATCCACTCCTGAAACCACCTCCGTGTATAAAAACTATAACCGGTAAAAGATTTGATTCATTTTTGTGCAAATTCGGAGTGTCAACGTTCAAATACAAGCAATCTTCTTGTCCGATTATATTTGAACCTGAAATTTGCACACATTGGGGTACATCTTGGGTAGCATCTCTAATTCCAAGCCATGGTTCGTTCTCAACTGGGTCTTTAAATCTAAGATTTCCTACCGGTGGTTTTGCAAATGGTATACTTTGGAAACTGTAAAATTCCTTTCCAAAACGATCATATCTTACTCGACCTATTAATGTCCCATCTGGTATTGTTAACTCTATTTCTTCCGAAGAGGAACTAACAACAAAAAATGTTAACAATGAAAATAGAACGTAATTAATCGGTGACAACATTTTTATTAAAGTTATTACTTTGATTTTGGAGTTAAATAAAAGGAGATATTTTTCGAGTGTATATTGTATTATAGATTTTATCCAAATCTATAATTAGATGATTTAATCAGAATACAAGATATTCTTTTATCAATAATTAGAAGATTATTCTGTATTGTATGATTACTATTTGTAAAAATCCATCCTCCATGTTTAATATTAGGCCTATTTTGGTTCAAGAGTTCTGTAGTTTGGAACAGTTCTGAATCTTTTTGCACTTACATATTGCATACTATACGTATGCATTTAGAAGTCCAGAACTTCTGTAGTTGAACTAAAACAAGCCCATATTGTGGAAGTTTGTTATTCCATATAATACGTGTTCGTATTTAAGCTGTTTATGTATTAAGATTCATTACAAGTGATAATGAATTATCAGAATCATCTGAAGTGACACTTATATCAAACCGAAACACTCAAAAGATAGTACCACAAAAGTTTGTGGAATATTTTATGAAAATTTGTTGGCTGATCAATAAAGAAGCATTTGGTTTCCAAAATGCGTATCATTAAGATTGACAAACGCTGGTTTAGTGGATGAGTTCACAGATAGTGTTTCAAAGGTTGACGCATTGTTCTTTAATCTTGGATTTTAGTAAAAAGGCCATTTTTTAAACAACTCGGTGATCGAAGTTAAGGTTTTAATGCCATTAAATCTGTACTATTTATCGGAAGACAGATTATCACATTTTAAGGATCTGTATGTGTTTTCTCTATCTTTCTGGAAATAGGATAAACTAAAAGATATATAAGAAAATCTTGGTATATTAACTTCTGTTAATTAATCGCTTTATAGGATTTGTTTTAATTTGATCAAAATATCATAAATACTTTTATGATGTGTCGCTTGCCAGTGTTTCTTGTATGTTAAATAATATTTGGGTTGTCTTCCTTCTATTTTGATAATATCATTAATTCGTTTTAATCTTTTTCATTGATATATCTACTTATTAGGTTCTAGATCTGCGGCGATTGGTATTATGATTGGTTGTTTGGCATTTTAAAGTTCTGAGTTGGATTCTATGATATTATTATTATTATTTTTTTTATTTATTGTTCCCAAAAAGACATAAGAGTCCATAACAGATATATAAACACTAAAATATAACAACAACGCAGGAATAAGCTACATACATACACACATATACAAAAAAAAAAACATTTCGTAATCAGTTTAACCTAAGATTAAGCTAATAAGTCCTTGCTTCTCCCGCAAAGGAGTCCAGACCATTCTGATTCTTCACCCGTTGTGGTAAATCATTAAACCACTCCGCCGCTGCTGCTGTAACACTTCTTCTTTCAATGCTTCTTGCAAGGGGCAAGCTATGAATATTTTGGTTAGTTCTTGTATTATACGCATGCATATCGCAGTTGAGGTTAAAGTGAATGTCAGTTTCCATTAGATTATTTTTGATTTTATATATTAGCTTCACACTATCAAGCTTAATCATCTCATGTATATTAAGCGCTTTTAACTCATTATACAATGATGTAGTATATGTGCTATGTGGTTTACAAAAGAAAATCTTTATAAACTTATTTTGTATTACTTGTAACTTGTCAAGGTTTTTTTTACGAGCGTGACCCCAAAAAGCGCAAAGATAATTTAAGTAAGAGTGAGCATAATAAATAGAAAATCTCGTTTCATTGTTGAAATATTTACCATTACGTTTTAAATAATACCATTTAACTTCCTCTGTATTAATTTTATATGGTATTCAAACGTTAATCTGTTATCTAAGACAATGCCCAAATAGGTATTATTTGTAACTTCACTCAACCTAATACCAGAGATTATAAGTTCATGACTTTTCGTAGTGGCCTTTTTGTTAAAGATCATATATACATATAGATTTGGCTAGTTAAGAACAGAAGTGATCCAAGTAACATTTAAAAAAAAACTGAGTTATGTCTCTTTTTGAACTTCTCTGTCATTACATTAGTTAATGCAAAAGTAATCGAAATACTATTGAACACTCTTATTAACAAAGTTGTATTTGTGACATTTTTGCACTGTCGTAGAAATATAAAATGATGAGTGCAAATGTGATCTAAGTTACTTGAATGCTACTTGGATCCCTTCACTGTGGATTTTAACCTAAATTAGTGCAGAAATAATCCATGTCGATATCAATAAATCAGACAATATGGCGTCATGAATTTACACGCAATTAATTTATAATTTTCTAATGAGGGATTTAAATGATTAATAATGACAAAATATAACAGAAGTAAAAACCTTTGAAAATGAAAAATGTTTTAAATTAAGTGTAGGTATTGCAAATAATTTGTCAATAAAACACTGAAATTTTAATGGCATTTAAAACATTTTTCATTTTCAAACTTTTTATGAGTGTACGTGTTTCGTCATTAATCAATCATTTAAATCTCATAATAGAAAATCACAAATTAATTACATAAAATTATTAATTTGGAAGTTTACAATTTTTTGTTAAAATAAATCATATCATACGGCGTCTGTCAATGTTGCGTATCAATAATCATAACTGGTGGAACGAGCTAAAGTCTCTTACAAAGTTATATTAAAGAAGTTTGTTCATTAAAATAACGTGGTAAAACTGGTGACGCCAAATCGTGTTTAGTGTCATGATTTAAACCTTTTCTTAAATTTATGTTGCAATTCCGCATCCATAACGAACTACAATCTGATAATATTGTGTAATACTTTTGAATATCAATTTTCGTAATCACAACTAAATCCTTATAGTGACAGTAGTAAACCATATCATCCATCACAAGAATCTGAATCCAAAGAAGAAAATATTGAAAATGTATCTAAGTATATTAATAATACATCGACCACAAGTCAAGCAGGATCTTTATCAAGTTTACAAAATATGGGGCAATCAGAAGAAGTAGTGAGAACTCGAAAACGGAAAAATGAGAATATGTGGAAGAGAAATGTTATCAAGCAAAAACGAAACAAAGGTGAACAGTATGTCAATTATTCTGGAAAAACAATACCAGCGAAACCTTTTACTTCTATTTTATGTACATGCAAAAGGAAGTGTAGTGATCATGTTCCTACAAGAGTGCAAAAGATTATTCACTCTAAAGGACAAACTGCATGGCTATGCACTACTGTTATCATGTCTTTACTACAACATCCTGCATCGAATTCCCAATAATATAACATCGGTCTATACATTCAGTGACTCGTGCATGGGACAAAATCGTAATTGGAACCTGTTTTTCTTTATGATTTATATGTTTAATATTGTAGAACACATATCAGAGATTACTGTTTGTTATCTTGTTAGCGGTCATTCTTTTCTGCCCAACGACTCTGACTTTTCAGATATTTCTAAAGCCCAAAGGAAGCAACAGTACATATACACTCCACAAGAATGGATAGACTTGATTCGTAATTGTAGGAAGAGAAAACCATTTATTGTGACGGATATGGTTGGGAATTTATTGACTTTAAAGGGATAGAAAACATAATGAACAAAACAGGTCGAAGTGTTAACGGGAATCGTATCCTAATTTAAAATGAGAAAAATAAAATTTTGCAAAGGAGATAGTAGAATCTATTTCAATGACGACTACTCGGAAAATTACGATGTTTTAGACTTAGACAAACAAGGGAATAGAAATCTGTTTCTAAATACTCTAAAGTCTTTTACCCCAAAAGAAACAACATGTAGTAAGCCGCTTACCCACCAAAAAATGCAGGACTTAAAGAAAATGCTACACTATGTGCCACCCTGTCACCATAAGTTTTATTTAAACTTACCACACCTTAGTAGGAGAAACAGTGCAGCTGAAAATGAAGAGGGCGATGCTCCCAAATATAGAGGGTGAATATTTGTCATTGCCAATTATTAATAAACTTATTTTCATTAAAAGCTCTTTTATTTCATTTCTGTAATACCGTATATTAATAATTTAACATATTGTATCAAAAATATATTGCTTCAGTTTTAATAATCGTAAAAACACGTTTTGCTTATTATCTCAATAATAACAAAATGTTACTTGGACCACTTATGTTCTTAACTAGCCACTTATCGTTGTTTAATTGAATACTATTTTCATATACCCAAGAGCAAACATTGTCCAGATCACACTGAGCATCAGAAAAGACAGAGTCTATAGACCCGCTGTAGAACAAAACAGCATCATCCGCATACAAGGCAAGATCACCATGCATACAATAATTGGTTATATCATTTAAACATATTAAAAAAACAGAGGACCGAGGACAGATCCCTGCGGTGCTCCATACTTTATATGAGTCTTGCTGGTAGCATTATTGTAAACAGTGCACTGCTTTCTATTTCTTAAATAATTTTTAAAAACTCTCAGCGATGGTCCCTGAACCCCCAAAGCTTCGAGCTTACTAAGCAGTATAGCATGGTCAACCACATCAAACGCCTTACATAAGTCCAGGAAAACAGCCAAACGGTTTTGCTCTCATTGAGATTTCTATAAACAAATTCCAACAATGATATAATAGCAGTCTGTGTGCTCTTACTGCCTGTGAAACCATGCTGCTCACAAGTTTGGAAACCAACTAGTCTACTTTTTTATGCACTGGAGTTATTCTTCCTATCTTTAGGATATCGGGAAATTGACCAAGTTTTATTTCTCTATTGATAATACTCTTACTGCCTACACTAAAGGTGAAGTGATCATTCAGAACATTAGAAATTTCCCTAGGATCCACTACGTCTCTCTTACTGCTTACAATCTTAGGAATCCGTTTAAATTTTGCATTAAATGTCAACAATCTAAAATTCATAAACATACAAAATCTCTTCGTTCTGGACGTTTTGAACATATTCACATTGACTTTGTAGACCCCCTTACACCTTCACTTGGTTATTCTTTTGTTCTTACAGTCATTGACCGTATTACAAGGTGGCCAGAAGTTTATCCTCTCAAAAATACGTCAAGTTCTACTGTTGCAACTGCTCTGATTACGAGCACGATTATGCACGATCAGGGCAGACAATTTGAATCTCAACTTTTTTCAGAATTTAATCGATCGTTTGGCTCAAAACAAATTTACACTTCCTGTTACCATCCTCAAAGTAATGGCATTTTAGAAAAACTTCACAGAACTTTGAAAACTGCCATTATTGCTAGGGGTAACATTATTGATACGTTGTTAAATTTTTTACAATGTCTGATGATAAAACTCAATGCACCAGAGGCTGACTTTACTATAGCGTTAACATGGTCTTTGAATTGCAACTGGTCATCGAATAAGACACCCGAATAGTGCGTTCTCTGCGCATTGCTTCAACTCCCACACAATAATTAAACGTTATTGGGTTATTACACCTTGTGTAAGATACGGAAACGCAGTTTGCTATATTAATATCAATTCCATTCTGTACAGACCAGGAACTGATCATGTTGAGATTGCGCTGTAAGATAACACAGTCTTCAGGGGATNGTTTCTCCATATTCAATGGTAAGAAAGTCGAAAATTTGAAATGGAACGCCCCATATCTTTTTACCCTATCAGAAATGGAATTTGATAAAAAAATGGCAAAATTAATTGGCAGAATTAGTTGGTTAGATAGCTCAATTTTACTTAGCTTTTACTAAAAATGTTTTAAGAACTATTCGAGAATAAACTCATCGCTCTTAATTTAAAGTGATATTGGAGACCATAATACGTAAGTTTGAAGCCTACTTATAGTAGAATTTTCCCATGATACTGAGATAGTCCACATACATTTCAAATTATTCGAGATAATATAAAATATTTTGTTATATTCACCAACATAACAAAATTTATCTCAATTTGTGTGAATCTTCTTCATTTTCTAGATCTTGTTCCTCTATATTTACTTCTTCATCATTATTGTCTTCTTCTTCACTTTCTTCATCATCATCATCTTCTTCTTTACCTTCCTTTTCTTCTAGAGATTTGTCCAGTATAAGTAAATTTTTCATGTCTTCATTCATATTTTTATATCTTTCTGAACATTCTTTATAAAAGTTACTAATAAATGGATCGGAGCTCAGTAATAGTCTTTTAAATAAATCTTCATTTGTTTGAAGACTACCACATTTTCTTGTGTGACACTCTCTAAATCTGCGTACTTGTTTGTTTTCTGCTTCTTGAGCCTTTTCAGAGAGCTCTCCAATCGCGACTCTTTAATTACTGCAGCACCATGAATTAAAATTTTGTGCACGCTAGTAGGCATGTAGTACCACTCATAAAGGTTAACATACTTCTCTGCGGTACTAAAGCAATATGCTTCAAACTCATTTTCTTTTATGTTATACCCACTATTTATAATACGCAGAATAACTCCAAATCGCTGGATTAATTCCGCATCAATTCCTTCAATTAAATTCCACTAATTAATTTCTATACAGTTATAATATAATCTAGCAACTTACCTGTAATATCTGCCGATGATTCCGGATTAGCAAAAAATCGTCGCGCAGTATTTCCATCATTCGATGTTCCATAGTTTTGCTTTGATACATAAACCAAATTTTTCTTGTATAAATCTTTTTCGATCCTTCACTTTATTTTTTTGTGGTTTGGGAATCTGAACATAAAACATCTTTAGGCATATGTTACACATAAAGCTATGTATGATAAACTATTTACCTTCCAAGTTTTAATTTCTAGTCTGTGAAGCAAACACTCAAAAAATCGTGCAGAACTGACAGACCAAATTTAAAACCTTCTGGGTCTAACGTTCTTGCACGCAAATCATTAAGATTATTCATCTCTGAGATTTTTGCTTTACATATATAACATTTCATGCCAGATGACTCCATTAAGGAATTACAAACCTACAAAATAAACAAACAACTCAAATAAAGTTCTAAGAAAACAAAGTAGTTTGGAACCTTTCCATCAGCTATCGTCAAATAAAGAGAAAAGTTTACAATTCCACAATTGAAATTGTATGGTTGAAGTTTCTCTATTTGGTCCGAAATATACTTCTCTTCGCTTTTTATAATTTTATTATTTTCATGAACCCATTGCAGCCTAATTGGCCTACAAAACCGTATGGATGATGGTCGCGGATTCTTCCACACTATTTTCTTATTATTGTCTTCTAGTCGTAATGGAACTAGTGACGATAGAAATAGAGAGTCATCTTTTCCCTCAGAATTATTTTGATACTTTTGTTTGTAAGTAGCATGACTTCCGCTACCATCAAACCCCCATTTACAATGTAACGTTAAATTACATTTTAATCGGTTTTGATTTTCGATCGGGTTTTGAGTGTTTTCGGACATCTTGTGTGATTGCCCCTCTCTAGCAGACCTCAGAATGAGGACCCTCGGAGAGGCATGGCCGACCACAGATGATATCAGGAACTTACCTCTGAGTAATATCCTGGCCTTCGGTAATTCCCTAGGCTGGTTGATGTGAAAAGAGGTTATGTTGGGAGTATGCACAAGGGGTCTAATGGGGCCTAAGTGCGGTGTGCGGGAACGCATGCACTCCCGTTTCCTTACAAAAGATAAAGATCTATATAATATACATAAATTCATTAGTATATCTTTATCAAACAACAATTTCTCACTTTATATTTAAACATAACGATTTATTACAGTACTTACCGATCTTTTACCATTTATTTTAGCAATATTTGGTCGGCATAGGTTGGCAACGCTGGTAACAACTAACACTAGAGCTAACTCTAGCCACAGAACATGATCTAGGATTAGAATTAACCAGACCTAGAACTAGAAAGTTTCAGGTTTTGCCGTGCGTCTCAAGACCAAGACATCCAGGAAAGGTAACTGTTTAGTAGCTTCTTTTTCCACGGTAAATTTGATCACGAGGAGTTGCGAGTTTAGGTAGTCTAAGAACTTCTAGAGGCGCCCTTTTCCATGCTGCCTGATCACAGTGGTGCCATCTACGTAATGAAACCATAGCTATTGTTTCCACGAACTCTTCCATTACTGGTGGCAAAGCTGATCCTATGGCTAAAATATGTTGATGATAAACAGTACTCCACTGGCCCTGGAAAATTCTTCTTCAAATCCTGCGGAATGAGTTATTTTATTATTGTATCTTTTAGGATTTAATATTTATAGGGTGTTAATAAACGTTATCTTATTATATTAAACATTTATTGTGTATGAATAAAATAAATTGATAAAATATTTTTATAGAACACCAAATCGTTCAAAAATATCCAACCAAAAATTCATACTTTCTTCATCAGGATTAACTCCGGAAATATCTCTAAATGTCCCAATATCCATATAATTTAAAACTCCATCTAAAACCGGTTCCCAATGATCACCCACTACTAAAGGATGTGAATGTTTAGCAAAGCTGCCCCATATTCCATTAACACGTTGGAGGGCAATATCTTCTACAGAACCGTTAAGAATTTCTGGTGACGTAACCATTTTAAATAAATATCCTAAATCATCTGCATGACCAGCACCTAGAAATCCCATTGAAATCGAATCCCTCCGCTTAAAAATGTTTAATTCCGAATCGGCGGAAAATCGATAAAAATAAACGGGATATTCATTATTTTTAACATGTTCAACTGCAGCTCTTCTAGCTGGAAAAGCAAACATTGTATCTGTACTAATATGAATCAAAGGTAACATGAAGTCAGGGCTAATTTCAACATCGCCTTGATAAAATTCTTTTATTTCTTCCGCCAATTTAAGCGCTTCTGGTGTCCCTGGTAAAACTCCTAACTCATCAGGGACAAAAGCAAAAAAGTCGGTGACTGGTTGGGGTTCTCCCGTTAAATTTCTAATGGATTGTTCATAAAAAATCCCTTCCGCGTCTGTGTACCCAATCATCATTGGTACTTTATTATAATTTCCTTCCCGAATTATTTTCATTGGATCATCCGGTAAGAAAGCTGTTTCTTTGTGTTTTTCTACAATTGGATTACTAAAACCTCTCCAACGCATGGGATACATCTAAAATTAACAAAATTAAATTAAAAAATTAAAAAATTATGAAATTACTTGAGTTAGCAGTAAAAATCCTTGCATAATAAATTGAGGTGGAAGATATTGAAGAGTCAGAAACATTTCCATAGCATCATCAGTGGTTACTCCTAACACTTGAGCCAAATATAATCCATTATTTTGAACACCCGTCAGCATAGTCCCCACACCACTTTGCATAATTGCCTTAGAAAATAATCCTTTGGATTGCGGTGAAAGAACGTGAAGGTGTACACTAGCACCACCGGCGCTTTGACCATAAATTGTTACTTGATCTGGATCACCACCGAAATATTCTATGTTTCTTTGAACCCATTCCAAAGCTAATCTTTGATCTTTCAAACCAGCATTTCCAGGAGCTCCAAAAGAAGGATCATCCAAACTAAAGAAACCTTTTTTGTAATAAATAAATTCAGTTAATTAAGTTTAACTTAATATTTAAATTATAATTAATATTTACCAAACATGCTAAGTCTATAATTTAAATTAACCAAAACGATATCTTCGGTGATTAAAAATTCAGGTCCGTAAACGCCATCTCGTGCAGATCCAATCGTGAAACCACCTCCGTGCATAAAAACCATAACCGGTAAAAGATTTGATTCATTTTTGTGCAATTTCGGGGTGTAAACGTTCAAATACAAACAATCTTCTTGTCCGATTATATTTGAACCTGAAATTTGTACACATTCGGGTACATCTTGGGTGGCATCTCTAATTCCAAGCCATGGTTCGTTCTCAACTGGGTCTTTAAATCTAAGATGTCCTACCGGTGGTTTTGCAAATGGTATACTTTGGAAACTGTAGAATTCCTTTCCAAAACGATCATATCTTACTCGACCTATTAATGACCCATCTGGTATTGTTAACTCTATTTGTTCCGAAGGGGAACCAACAACAAAAAATGTTAACAACGAAAATAGAACGTAATTAATCGGTGGCAACATTTTTATTAATGTTATTACTTTGATTTTGGAGTTAAATAATAGGAGATATTTTTCGAGTGTGTACTAATTATACATTTGGATAAGAGTGATTTAATTAGAATATCTTGTTTTTATTTATTTATCAGATGAGGTTTTAAAATATCTTCTTAATCTCTACATAGTAGCTATCACTAGAAAACCTAGGGGGTCTCCACGTTTAATATTAGACCTGTTTTGATACAAGAGTTCTGTAGTTCCAAACAGTTCTGAATCTTTCTGCGCATACATATTGCATACTATACACATGCACGTAGAGGTTTAGTACTTTTCAGAACTACAGAACTCTTGAACTAAAACAAGCTGTTCGTATTTATTTGTGTTTAAACTATTTGTGTATTAAGATTCATTACAAGTGATAATGACATCAAGCCAAAACACTCAAAAGATAGTACCATAAAAAGTTTCGGAATATTTGATGAAAATTAGACTTCGTTGCTGATCAATAAAGAAGCATTTGGTTTCCAAAATGTATATCATGAAGATTGACAAACGCTGGTTTAGTGGATGAGTTCACAGATGTTGTTTCAAAAGTTGAGCGTGACACATTAGCAGTTTCTCGAAAAACGACATCATGATATGTAAGGTATTTTTTTTCTATCTCTTTTAGTTTCGGAGATTAACGGTTAGTTTAGTAGTTACTCCCTCTCCGATTTTTAGTAGGTTGTTAATGTAGATAATAAATAATAGTGGTCCAAGTATGGATCCTTGAGGAAACCCGGTAACTTTTGCAACCTTCAGTTTAGTAGGAAATGCGTAGGAAAATTAGTAGGTGCTTTAGCAATTTCGATGCCAACTTTTTTCACAATAGGAGAAGTCAATCCATATATGTCTTCACTGTCTGTCTGTTTCATCTTCGAGATAACACTTAATATCTCTTGATCATCAATCGGTGTAAAGAAACAAGAGTTGATATTGTTTTTATTCAATTTTTTTACATATCCTTCAGGCTGCATAGATGGGATCTCAATGGCAGTAAGCAACGATTGTGTTTCAGTTGCATTTAAATCTGCATCATTCTGTGGT